ATTATTCAATATTATTACAATATTGCAACATTATTCAATATTATTACAATATTGCAACATTATTCAATATTATTACAATATTGCAATATTATTCAATATTATTATAATATTTCAATATTATTCGATATTATTACAATATTATAATATACAATATTATTCGATATTATTACAATATTATAATATACAATATTCTTATCTTATTATTATTATATTGTTATACAGAGAAAGTGTGTGGTCATATTTCGTGAAAACCAGCCTGCAAAATTTACGAATAGCACTGGCGATGAGTCCGTCTGGGGATTTATTGAGAACAAGATGTCGGAGTTATCCTGGTCTGGTGAACAGTACCACCATAGATTGGATGCTCCCTTGGCCCGAACAAGCTTTGGTCTCCGTGGCCAATGTTACTCTTAGAGACGTATGCGATTATTTGTCTTCCTTGTTTTTAATTTTCATTTTTACACTCATTACTCTCCTTCTCCTTATTCGTTAATCCTCAAGTGGATTTTCAATTCTAGTTTAGATAGTTAGAGTCACATTCGATTTGTATTAAACTGATGAATGGAAATAAAATTTTCCCTGCATTACGTTAGGAACGTAACAAAATATTGGAGGATCGTATAAATTTTCAAATAAGATTACTTATTCGCAATTACAAAGGGCTGCGACTAAAGTGACCAATAGATCATTTAAGAGTTACCTTCAGCTTTTATATTAACTTTACTCTGACAGAGATTAGTAACAGAATTCAACGAAAAATTCCAAAATTAAGTACTAAATAATAAATATTTATATACTGATTATGGATGACTGTAATGATTTCTTGAGAGAATTTGATTTTATTTTGCATTGTTGGACTACTAAAATTTTGTATTTCATCGTAATTGAACTTGGTGATAAAGTCTTCAGTATAAGAATTTTCTTCAACTGGCGCTTATATCCAAATCTAAAATATATAAAACATTTTTCAGGATCCAAACGTGCCACAAGCTCACAGAGACACTCTGGTAGAGCACATGGTGTTCGCTCATAAAACTGTTTGCGACTACACAGTGGAATTCCAGAAGAAACTACGAAGGAGGAACTACGTGACACCTAAACATTATCTAGACTTCATAAACAATTACCTGCAACTCCTGGTGGAGACGAAAAATTACATAAATTCACAATGTAATCGACTTTCCGGAGGTTCGTGAAGTTAGATTTTACATTAAGATATTTGATATACTGACAACAAGATCCAATTCTCATTATAGAATTTATACTGACAAGATCCAATTCTCATTATAGTATATTTCACAGAGATTATTATACTGATTAATAAAAATTTTTATTTGAATCTTAATCTCTGGATTTCTAATCCATTAAGGACCAGAAATTTATCAATTTCTCCTAATGTTATACGGTTACAAATTCTGGAAGAAATAATAATGAAAAAGATTAATTCGTGCATTCTTCAATTTTTGGAAGTATAACTTAAACCTAGCCTAATCTAAAGAAATAGAGCTTGAATAGAAATTTGTTTCATCTACTTTATAGGCAATGTGTATATTTTTGCAACTTGCAATTTTCCATAAGTGCACAAAATGCACAATGTGTATATTTTTACAACTTTCAATTTTCCATAACTACATAAAATGCACAATGTGTATATTTTTGCAACTTTCAATTTTCCATAAATGCACAAAATGCACAATGTGTATATTTTTACAACTTTCAATTTTCCATAACTACATAAAATGCACAATGTGTATATTTTTGCAACTTTCAATTTTCCATAAATGCACAAAATGCACAATGTGTATATTTTTACAACTTTCAATTTTCCATAACTACATAAAATGCACAATGTGTATATTTTTGCAACTTTCAATTTTCCATAAATGCACAAAAATCTGCAGTCTACCAGAATATTTCCAAAAAGAATTTTGGTCTCGCTTAAAACTGCACAAAATGCACATGGTGCGAAAAAAGAATATATGAAATACTCAGAAGGCACGATGGTTTGTACGTAAAATTTGTACATAGAAGTGTATTCGGCATAGAGGACAATTTTCTAGTGAAATCTTGCCACTTCTCTGCTTAAAAATCCTCGGTTCGGTTGCGACAAAGGGTGAGACTGCGTCATCTTAATTGTTAAAGGGCTGCAGAAGATCGCGGAGGCGTCAGTGACTCTGAACGAGTTGAATAAGATTCTGGCGGTGCAACGGGTAAAAGTGGCTGATCAAACGAGGAATTGCGAGCAATTATTGGCCTCCATAGGAGAAAGTACGGATATCGCGGTGGAGAAGAAACAGTTGAGCGAGCACGAGAGGCAGGCGATAGAGGAACAAAGGAAGATAATCGACAAAGAGGAAACGGAAGCGAAACAGGCGTTGGCTGAGGCGCAACCTGCCCTGGATTTGGCCAGAGAAGCCCTCGGGGAACTCGATAAAGCAGACATCACCGAAATAAGGTTCGCCAATATTTCCATTCCGTTCCTAAAAGTAATTAACAGACGCACGCGACAGAAGCTCGATTTTTTTTTTTTTTAATATCATTTACACGCCATTCGCGTATTTTTTTAGGAAATTGTTGAACTTGAGTTTCTTTCTTCAAGAAATCGAGAAATTTACGCGTGCAGTAGCAAAATCTAATTTCCCTCGAGGAAATAGTATACTACTCTCGCAACTTTACGTAACGCCTTTATTGGAGAAATTGAATTCCTTACATATGGTATGTAAAACGAAGTAGAATTAGTAGGAGTAACATTGAAAGGTGCGAGAAGTAAACGACTTTACAGAATTACATGGCAAATTTGCTTGAAAGAAATGAATCCCACTTTATCGTATTCAGGAATGTTAATTGTATAAAAATACACGGAATATTGATGCACTTTTCCATCGTGATTGTGGAACTTTGGCTGCTTGAAATACTGAGAAAAAGAATGAAAAAATACTAAATAAACTAACATAAAAATATTACATAACTTAATATTTATTAATAATGTAATTAATATATAAAATTATAATTAATATATTAATAATAATTATAATATATATTAATATATATTATAATAATTATAATTAATATAATTATATTATATTATATTAATAATAATTATAATTTAATAATTTAATAATTATAATTTTATAAATTTTATATATTATATCATTAAAATTATAATTAATATAATTAATATATTACATGATTAAAATTATAATTAATATAATTAATATAAAAATATTAAGTAATTTAACATAAGAATGTTAAAAAAAAATATTAAACGCACAAAAATGTATCGTACAAAATATTAAAAGAATATTTAAAAAAATATTAAATATCGTACAAAATATTTAAAAAATATTAAACGCACAAAAAAGTATCGAGGATACTAAAAAGATTTTCAGATCTGTCGCGATTTTTTATTCTAACGAGGAGAAACATCTGTCGTAGAACTTTTATCGCCTGGAGTATTAAGAAAAGTATTTCTAGATCGTTCGCGACTCCACCGGAACCGGTGCAAATTGTCTCAGAATGCGTGGCAATGCTGCGAGGTGTCAAGGACATTTCCTGGAAAGGTGCAAAAGGAATGATGAGCGATCCAGGATTCTTACGGTCGCTGCAAGAAATGAACTGCGACAAGATCACGTTGAAAACGCAACAAGCAGTGAAAGCTCATTTGAAGAAAACCACGAAGCTGGATCAGATGCAGTTCATCAGCAAGGCTGGATACGGATTGTACAAATTCGTAATGGCTGTGTTGGACTATTGTGCCGTTTTTAGAGAGGTAGACATTTCCAATCGATCGACGAAACTTAATTCTAAGTGAATTTCCTGCAACTCGAAATTTTAACAAACTGGCATTAAGTTTTGAAGTCGGCAATATTCGTCGAGAAATCAATTTTCATCGTTCGAGATTTGAATCAGGAACAAAGTAAATTTCCAGGACCAGAGTTGGGATTGGCAAACGATATAAATTTCTGAAGTTCTCGAAACTTCAATTCCAATTCCAATTTCAACACAGATCCTTTTGATCTTGAATCTATCGTCAATCAAGTTTACAGAAACAGAACCTGTTTCTATCGAATGTTCCAAATTTTCATTTCCAAGTCGGATGAATCTTTAAAAGTCTCAGCTGATCTGACGAAATTCACAAATCTCGTCTCGTCTCGTCATATCTCAGGTGAAGCCAAAGATCGATCGCGTCAAGGAATTGGAAGCTGAATCGGAGCGAGCGCGAAAGGCGTTGGAACGAGAGGAGCGGGAATTGCGACGGCTGGAAAAGACCATTGCCGAGTTGAACGCGAAATACGAGAGTGCCACGGCAGAGAGGCAGAAGCTGCAAGAGGAGACGGACTTGCTTCAGAGGCGTTTGATAGCTGCCGACAAGTTAATCAGCGGGCTGTCTTCTGAAAACGAACGATGGAGGAAGGAGTTGGAGACGCTTCAGGGACAGATGGAGAAAATTATTGGAAACTGTCTGCTCTCCGCGGGATTTCTTGCGTACTGTGGCCCATTCACTTACGAGTACAGGAACCGGATGTTGTACGACGATTGGTGGAACAGTATGGTGCAAAAGGGGATTCCATTCACGGATACGTTCAGGATACAGACTGAGCTGAGCAACGATGTTGAAATTAGCACGTGAGATACTTTCGTTTTCGTCTCTACTGTATTTTCTTTTGTTAATATTCGGAATCGGTAAATAATAATAGTAATTTCATATATTTGTATATTTATTTTATATATTTTATATATTTATATATTAATATTTATGTATTTTATATATTTGTATATTTATTTTATATATTTTATATATCTGTATATTAATATTTATGTATTTTATATATTTGTATATAAATATTTATGTTTTTATATATTTGTATATAAATATTTATGTATTTTATATATTTTATATATTTGTATATAAATATTTATGTATTTTATATATTTGTATATAAATATTCATGTATTTTATATATTTGTATATTAATATTTATATATTTTATATATTTGTATATTAATATTTACATATTTTATTTTATATATTTATTTAATAATATTTTCGTTAGAAGAAGAAAGAATTTAACATCTCTTTCTAACGTCAATTTTAGTAATTAAAAAACGAACTCACAAATATTCTATTTATGTATGCTATTGTGTTGATATATATATCTATATTTTACGTCTAACATCTCGAAGTTTCCATTATTTTCGAAACAATTGCGCAAAGATTATTCGAAAGAGTAATTTGAATTGTATTGCAGACTTTAATTTAGAAACTAATCAATCTCACTAAGAAATCTTTTACATCCCAACGATTTTGAATTTTTACGTCTCAAATTTGTTTTGAATTTTAAATATCCTTGAACATTTACAGTTTGATCTGAAAATTGTCTAGTAAAAGATCTAAATATAATAAATCTCACGTTTTAGCAAAGTCTAAAAATAATAAATTTCACGTCATATACATTTTACGTGCACACTCCAAGCGTGAAGGGATTAATCCCAATTTGAAAACGGTAACGAAATGTTCAGTGAAGAAAATTTATTTAAGATGGACGTCCGAGGGTCTACCACCAGACGAATTGTCCGTGCAGAACGGTATTCTGACGACAAGGGCCTCCCGATTCCCAGTTTGCATCGATCCACAGCAACAAGCTCTGAATTGGATCAAAAGGAGAGAGCAGAAAAAGAATCTAAAGATCCTGTCGTTCGCTGACCCGGACTTCCTGAAGCAAGTGGAACTTGCAATAAAATATGGACTGCCAGTTCTGTTTCAGGACGTCGACGACATTGATCCTGTCCTAGACAACGTCCTATCGAAGAACGTGCAAAGTATTTTTCACCGTGAATCTCGCGAATTTACAGCGAACGAAACTAGTGAGAATACGGGAGATGAAATTTAATTGCAGATGTGGGAGGTAGAATATTCGTTCTGCTTGGCGATAAGGAAGTGGATTACGACCCGAGGTTCAGGATGTACCTCACTACAAAGATGTCGAATCCTATTTTCGACGCTGCTGTATACTCTAAGGCTACTGTGATCAATTACATGGTGACACTAGGGGTTCGTTTTCTTCAATTCTCTTTAGTTAGAAAATTGAAGATTAATTTAAAAAAAAATAGAATTTCTTATCATCTTTTGTCCAAGTACTCTATTCACGAACTTTGATAAATTAATGGTGTTTCTTGTATAAATTGTTCCAATTCTTTTTCAAATTTAGCTCTGAAGAGTTGAACAAAACAAAAAAAAAAAAAACAGTTTTAGAGGATTAAATTCAATATTTGAAAGTAGAGAATTGCAAATCCGAAAGAAATTCAAAGATAACAAACTTCGACCAATAATTTACAAATTGTAATAAACTTTTCTACCTTAGATCAAGAAGTGAATCAATAATATTAGCTCAAAATTTCTGTTCAAAAAAAAAAAAGGGAGATGTGGGAGGAAAATTAAACATCCGAAAAGAAGTAAAGAATCGAATGTCTAAAAGTTCGCGAGTTATACTTTCTAAACAAATCCCTCTGCTTTCTTTAAATTAATTTCAATTTTGAAAAAAAGCTCTCTGCTAAAAAAAAAGAAAAAAGAAAAAAATTCAACCACTGAAACGCTACACGCATGAAATGAAAAAAATTCCAGGGTCTGGAGGACCAACTGCTGTCGGTGGTCGTTCGGACGGAGAGGCCAGACGTCGAGGAACAACGCGAGAGCCTAATCGCCGAGACCAGCGAGAACAAGAACCTGCTGCAGCAACTGGAGGACAGTTTGCTCCTCGAGATCGCGACGAACGAGGGCAACATGTTGGACAACATCGAGCTGATCGAAACTTTGGAGAGCACCAAGGCCAGCGCGGCGGATGTGCAGAGGAAACTCTATCTGGCCGAAGTTACAGCCGCTGACGTGAACAAGCTTCGCGACGGTTATCGACCGGTGGCGAACAGGGGAGCGATACTGTTCTTCGTTCTGGCGGACATGTCCATGGTGAACCCGATGTACCAATACTCCTTGAGCAGCTACGTGGAGGTGTTCGTCTACTCGCTGAAGAAAGCGATCCCGGATCCAACGTTGAGTCGCCGACTTAAGAACATCATCCCGATGCTGACGAAGAACGTGTACGATTACGGTTGCACCGGGATTTTCGAGAGGCACAAGTTGCTGTTCTCGTTTCAAATCTGCACGAAACTGGAGGAGAGCACGGGGAACGTGAGCCAACAGCAACTGGACTTCTTCGTCAAAGGGAGCGTCACGTTGGAGAAGGCGGCGAGAGTCAATCCCACGGAATGGTTACCGGCCACCGGATGGACGGATCTGTTGAAATTGAGCAGCGATTTTCCCGACGACTTTGGCAACGTTGCCGACGAGCTGAGCTCGCACGCGGCTGAGTGGCAAGCTGTAGGTGAAAACTCGACTCACGCGTGTAATTTTGACGCGATTCAGAGTTAAATGTAGTGAAATCAGGGACATTGCTTTCTGTCGATAATGATAATGCGGATGTCTATGCAAAAATATATTAAGAAATTCTAGTATTCGAACAAATACACTATCGAAGATCCTCAGCGATGGAAGTCAATTGGATTTAAAAGTTAAATATTGAAGTAACAAAGTGAAATTCTCACAGTCGTTGCAAGATAATTTATGCATTTATTTTTACAACCAGAGAAATAGAATCTAAATGGATTCTTCTGTTAAATATTAAATAGTAAATACTCTACTTTGGATATTTTATATATTTTTGTATATCGTGTCTTTAATATATACATAGAAATCTGCAGTCCACTTAGAATATTCAAAAAAATTCTATATCTCTTAGTAATATTTTCATTGATACTCGAGTTATTGGTATGAAACACTATTACGAGTTTCGAAAATAATCTGAACTTTGAACAATATAAATAAAAATTTTAGAATATGTGAAATGACGTAAAACATCCTCTTTCGGTATACAATAATTGATATCAATCAATAATTTAATAAACATTACAAATATGAAAAAAATTAATAATTTACTGCAATCCCAATTGTACCATCATAAAGAAATTATCAGTTGAAATAAAATTGCTAAATATCCGTTGTACCAATTAAAAAATAATGTTATATAACATTACAAAGGATATTTAGCAATTTTATTTTAATTGATAATTTCTTTATGATGGTATAATTGGAATTGCAATAAGTTATAAGTAATTTTTTCATATTCATAATGTTTATATATATATATATATATATATATATATATATATATATTTCGTGCTCTTTGCATATTTTACATGCAGACAAACATCTAATAAGTATTATTTCCTCGAAGATGGCTAACGACACATTAAATCAACATTTTTCAGTGGTACGACATGGATGCTCCAGAGTCTGCAGATTTTCCTCTAGATTACTCCACCAAGTTGACACCGTTCGAGAAACTCATGTTAATACGCTGTTTCCGCGTCGACCGAGTTTATCGAAGTGTCGTTAATTACATCACCGAGATTATGGGAGAAGAGTACATCACTCCCCCTCACGTTAGTTTCGAATTAATCTTCGAGAAAAGTACGCCTACGATGCCTGTTATTTTCATCCTAAGTCCTGGATCTGATCCATCGTCGGAATTAATGAAGCTGGCAGACAAATACGGGTGTGGGGGAGGAAAATTTAAATATTTGTCGCTTGGACAGGGCCAAGAGAAGGTAGGTTGTTTATGATTATTTAACCAATCCTTCAGAACCGATTCTTCTTTTTTTTTTTTTTAGCCTTGTAAAAAATTTGTTTCTAACAGTTGAGAGCTCGTGTAACTTTAAATTAATACACATTATAATAATATATTGGAAATTATCGCGTGTTTTATGTCAGTGAACATTTCACGTTATATCTAAGTTAATTTTTTTCTTTGTTGTAATTGAAATGAAAATCAAATTGAAATTTAATGGAGATGTTTTGATCACAACATTCCTCATTCTTTCCTTTTATCCTTCATGCATAACCATATAAATTTATATACATGAATATTTTTCGAATTTATCATTTTAGACTGCGATAGAGCTATTAGAGACTGCGGTGTCCAGAGGGCAATGGCTAATGTACCAAAACTGTCATTTGCTATTAAGTTTCACCAGAGTTCTAGAGAAACTACTGGAGGACGTTGGGAAGCCTCACCCGGATTTCCGGTTGTGGCTCACCACTGATCCAACCCCCACATTTCCTATTGGAATATTGCAACAGTCTTTGAAAGGTTTATTTCAAAATAAAAACAAAAAAAAAAACAATTTTTTGCTGTTAGATACTTTTTTTGCTGCTGTGGAAGATGGACTCGCGAAATAATTTTTAATTTCTGACTTTTTTTTTTAGTGGTCACCGAGCCACCCAGTGGACTGAAATTAAATCTCGAAAGTACCTATCTGAAGATCAAGCCCCAGATGCTCGAGAGTTGCGCGCATCCTGCTTACAAACATTTAGTTTACGTATTAGCTTTCTATCACGCGGTCGTTCAAGTGAGTGAGACTAGAATTAACCGGAGTGATGTTTAACTGCGAGTAAAAGCGAAGTCTCTCGCCAGAGAGTTAAGGCCAAGAAGCGAGAGAGAGCAAATGATCTGTTCAGATATTCTTACCACACTCGAGACGGCTGCCAATAGACTTTCCAACTGGACGACCTGAAAAAAATAAATTTTACACGTTTCTAGCATTATGCCTCGAATGTAGTCTTTGTATTATCGATATTTTTAAAAAACTATCACAAATTATCCCGAGCGAATTATTATTATATTTTGTACAGTGAATTTTACGAGATTCAATTTATCTTGCAATAAGTTTTACGACAGAGATTATACAATGCTGTAATGCTTGATGCCATGCGTATTTTATATACGGTGAAATGGCAAAATTTTCAATGGATGTTGAATTTTGTTAAATACACTTTTTATAGCAAATTTTATAATTTGCGATTCATCGGATAACGAACTCCTCCTGGAGATTTCATTTTTGCTCACAGTCGAATAATGTTAATGATCGTACATACACGTCGATGTAATCATGTTACGATAAATTGATTATCTGATTATTGTTTATAGGAGAGAAGGAGGTACGACAAAATTGGCTGGAATATAAATTACGATTTCAACGAGTCGGACTTCAATGTTTGCATAACTATTTTAGACACTTATTTGACTAAGGCGGTTGTAGCAAAAGATCCCAGGCTCCCTTGGAACAGCTTGAAATATTTGATAGGGGAAGTATGTTTTATACGTAACTCTTTTTCTTCGTAACATTTAAATAATGTATTTTAGTCGTAAACGAAATTTATTTTCGATAAAAATCTAAAGTTCTTAGATATTATGTTACTCCAGCATTTTATTAATTTTTATACTTTATATTTTACTTATATTTTATATTCTTTGATATTTTACATTACGTATCTTTCTGTTTAAACTTTCGAAATTAATTTTTTTTTGTGAAATACGAAATTATTCATAATTCAGTGTTTTGTGCAATCGACTTGAAACGAAAAGAAAAAAAAAGATCCTCTGCCAGACGACATTTTATCCAGAATACAAAATTTCGAAATCAGATAAATAACGATGAATTCGGATAATTATATAAGAGAAATTCTTCTAGACGCACTCTGTTTCTTCTATCTCATTTAAGAATTCAAACAGCATGCGAATTCAGAGAACTATCGACGAGATACCGTTCTAGACTTTCAATTACATTTTCAAATACATTCTTCAACTTGTATGTATGTCTCTGTATGAGCTGAGGGATTCTAAATTTCACGAAATAAACCTAGGTAATGTACGGTGGCCGAGTGATAGACAGCTACGATCGTCGGGTATCCGAAACCTACATGGACGAATACTTCGGAGATTTCCTATTCGACAGCTTTCAACCCTACCATTTTTATCGCGGCAAGGAAGTCGATTACGTGATACCACCGGAAGGGGAACTGGAAGATTATCGAAAGTTCATCGAGGGACTACCACTGGTGAACACTCCAGAGGTCTTTGGACTCCATCCAAATGCCGAAATTGGCTACTTCACTCAGGCTGCGAAGGAAATGTGGAGCAATCTCATAGAACTGCAACCGCAAACTGGTAAAATCACGTAACGAGGCTAAGTTTGATAATGGAGCTAATCAATTTGTCGTCCGAACGAAAACGAGCCTCGTCCATATTTTATCTTACGCGTATCTTTCTGGAGGAACATAACACTCTGAACATTGTTCATTTCTGTCCGATGAATCTCAATAGTTTTTATTTGTTTAATACTGTATAATATTTTTATTGGTTCACTGTATAATATTTTTATTGGTTTCTAGTCTAATGAATTCTTTAATATCATTCTTTTTACATGATATTTTCATCAACTTCTCAAATCACGGGATATAATTTATTAGTCCTTTCTTTTCTAACTTCTAATTAATTGATTCTTTAACATTCGTATAGTATCTTTTAGTAATCAGTCATATTATAGGATAGAGTTAAAGTTATTTGAGCTGGTAGAATATTTGGATCAAGTAAAATAGTTTATCTTAGTCATGAAGAATTTTTGAAAACAGATTATTGAAATGAAACCAGTGATTTTTTATTTTACATATCTTCCGATATCCTCTTATAAACATTTCTTTGTACTCTCTAGTACGCTTGGATAAGAAGAGCAAGTCTCTCCCTTCCTCCAAATAATTTTCTCTTCACTCAAATTACTAGAAAAACTGTTTCGTTGTCTAGAAGTCGATGGCACTGGGATAAGCAAAGACGAATTTATCGACAACATCGCGAAGGACATACTTGATAAAGTTCCTGTCGAGTACAATCTCGTTAAAATCAGAAAACACTTCGGCCCGATGATAACACCAACCACGATCGTTCTTTTCCAAGAATTGGAAAGGTTTAACAAGCTGATTAGGGCGATGAAAATTTCCTTAACGAAATTGAGAAAGGTCTGTACCGATATTTCTCTTCTCGCGCAATTGAAAATTAACGCCTTTTGATTAAATACTTTTTAATTCTTAGTCTGTCACGGATGAAACTTCGTCTCACGCAAATAGGATTTTATTTATTATTATTTCATTATTACTGCCTGATGAAAATCATTTTTCTAAATAATAATTTAATAAGGTTTGTTCGTTTTTAAAATTAAAAAAGAAAGAAACAGTGCGTTAGAATGAAACATTGCCGCGTAATAACGTAAACATTTGATTTCCTTTGATGACAGTTTTTAAACAGTTAATTATTTTTGTGACATTCTGACGATACTTTTATTATATTTAATATATTGTTAGGCTATCGCTGGCGAAATCGGAATGGACGCGACTCTCGAAAATATATCCGCAGCGTTATACAATGGCCAATTACCAGAAGAATGGGCCAGACTAGCGCCAGACACAAGAAAGACTTTGGGTGGATGGATAGAACATTTCGAGAAGAGAATACAACAGTACAATAGTTGGGTAAGACGTTAAAATTAAAGCAGAATTCATACCTTATTGATTTACCAAAGAAATTTTCACTGACGAGCAAATATAAATAGAACCATAACTTGCTGAAATTTCATTTTGGCATTGAACGAACCATCATGATTATAAAATTTGAACATCTATCTACGGTTTATTGTAATCATACATTTAATAAAATCAGTGCGCAGCATGAATACTAGATTTATATAAACATACAATTAATTATATATTAAAACTTAACGTTCGTTTTAGAACTTTTAATTTAATTGAATTTCATCGCCAATCTCTGTTAATATAAAATACAAAATAGAATCGAATGCCCTAAATTTTGGTAATCTAATAAAAATTATTATCATTATCGTACAATGATACTGACTCAACGATACTATTTATTGAATAATTGTTCAAATACTTTTACGATTCATACGATGAAATATATGTTTGCAATAAAATTCATTTCCAAAATTCGTAGTCCATGACGAGCGAACCCATAGTTCTCTGGTTAGCTGGATTGCACATCCCAGAAACTTATCTAGCAGCCCTCGTGCAAATGGCTTGTCGAAGAAATAGTTGGTCTTTGGATCGTTCTGTCATGTACACAGCAGTATCGAGATACACCAGACCTGAGCATATAGAGGAAAGACCCGACGAGGTGATCAATTAAATATTTCTCACCGTTTTCGTTTCATTTCCAAATTTCCAAAATAAAAATTTAATTCATTTCTATTCGTACTAAATAAAATATACTATAACTGGAAGCTTCTTAAATATAAATAAAAATAAATGGCGAAGACCTATTAGGAAGATTTAATAAAACAAATAGCAGAACGCAGAATTCCTCGTATTCGACAATTATAATATGATTAAGATAACTAATAACAAAAGTAAATGAAAATACAGGGTTGTTACGTGAGTGGATTATATTTGGAAGGAGCCAGATGGGATTTAGAAGAGCAATGTCTCAAGAGATCACATCCAAAAATCCTGATAGAGGAATTACCAGTGCTCATTATCATTCCGGTGGAAGCTCATAGACTTAGGCTTCAGGTGACGAATTAAATGAATTAAAATTGACTGAAATTGTTCAAATAATTAATGTGCACATGCGTGAATTACAGAACACTTTTAGAACACCAGTGTACACTACTTCAAATCGAAGAAACGCTATGGGGGTAGGTTTGGTTTTCGAGGCGAACCTCGCTACAGAAGAACATATTTCTCATTGGGTATTGCAAGGAGTTTGTTTAGTATTAAACACTGATTAAATAATGTTATTTAATTATAAGATAACAATAATGGTAATTATTTTATAAAGAAAGAAATATACAAAAACGTCTCATGTACAGTATATTAGGTATATTAAAAAAAGTGTTTGCAAAAGTATCTATATGTTATGCAAGATGATTCGTGTAACTTGCATAACTGAAGTAACTTTTAAATTGTGCTAAAATGTCTAACGAAAAATTGCTTAATGCAAAAGTTGTATGATTTTAAGAAAGGCAAAATATGATGTATCAATCTTTTCGATGAGTTTCAGAATTTCCAAAGTCATCTTTATTTTTTTTTTAATCAGACCATATATTCCTTTTTATCATAAATGAATATTAAATTCCAAGTAAAAAAGTATTAAGCCACGTTGATCCTAAACCTAATGGTTAAAGAGATATTTTACGATAATTTGTCTCTTACATATTAAAATATATCAAATTCGAAATCATTTCACTGGTATTTGAAATGAAACTGAGTAAAGTCAAAATCCACGTTATATCAAAAAATATTTATCAGAACGCATGCTACTTATAGAATACTTGTAATACATATTAATTTTTATTCAAGTTCTACAACTCCATGATATAATTAGGCACGATTCTTCTATAATATAATTACAGATACGTTTGTAGCAATTGTGGAAGTATTAATTAAACTTGAAAGTATACCTCTGGAAATTTTTCTTGCCCCCTGAGTTTAACCAACAAGAACAGATGTACACGATGAATAATCATAGAAAACGCAGATATATTTACACAATATATACAGTATGCTATTGACTATTTCCACTCGTAAACTTGATCTGAGGCAAACAGAGATTGTAAAAGGAACTGTCGATGAAATCATCCAAAGATTGCCATTTCACCCAGCGATCATTCTCCAATTGTTCGGTTCCACGTGCTCTGCCAACGAAATGCGGATCCACGATTAACAAATAGGTGTTCCTCGGACCCTCGTGGATTCCTACGACGCACTTGCTCGAGCAATCCTTATCGCCGCCCATCATGACCGGGCTACCAAATTCCTCGAAGTGGCCTCTGATAATTGGAACTTGATCCCGCAGGGCTCTGCCATTTGGAACGTGCACAATTTTACTGAGGACTTCGTACAAATGATTCAACACGAGGCACACCTTCAACACGAGATACTGGAAATCAGCTTGTTTACTTCTATTTGGCAGGAGGGTACATTATCCAAGTATAGCATTATCGCTAATATTTAACATTCTTCGTGAATGAGATTTACAATATTGAACAGCAAACAAAATGCAAGTCACGCTTTTTAAATGAAAAGTAAGTGAAGCATAATACATATATATCATCAGATGGATATTCATTCTTTTTAAATGAAGTTCTATCCAGTCTACAGAGTCTATAAAAATTCAAACTACTTTTGCCAAGATTTCTGACAAGTGAAAGTAAAAATGTTAAAGTAACTGTTCGCAAATATTTCAACCCTTCTGAGATTGGCTTACTTCGAAGCTCCCTATCCATTCCCTCGATCCAATGAACGACTGTTCCTTATCGTCCAACGTGACGAGCACTTCCTGTATACGTCTGAGATCTGGAATGGATTGATCCAACTTCAGGTTCCTTACAACCCACGAGCATATAGTCTGCAACGTTCTGTATCCACAACCCCAACCCTAAATTCAACATTTCATCGTTTTTTTTTTTTTTTTTTTTTTCTCTTCTCGTCATTCGTGTCATGTCCTCGAGACGAACAATTACAGACCTTGTCGTTGAAACCATCGCAACCGTAATGCCAATACTCGTAATCACCTCGTACCAAGAAACTTTGACCACCTTCCGGTGCAGGGATATCGCGATGAACGTTTCTCAACAGATGGCTCGAGTAATCGACGGTCATCGTGCTATCTGGTAAAAATCGTCGGACGATAACCGATGGATGTCCCGTTCCATCCAACGAGCCACGTAACGAGCCACTCTACTTTCACGTCTGTCTGTCGCAACCGCCTCGAAAAATCCTCAAACAGACCGTGTTGTTCCGTACGCGATACGAAATAGAGCGCGAACTTTCGTATTTCCCGGTTTAACGGTGATCCGCCGCCATTCCACGTATTTTCCCTCCGTCACCTAACCTATCCAACTATGTACGTAGCTCGCACGTCCCGTCGTTCACGCGCCTCGTAACATAACGATTCGGTGAAAGCTGAAGTCCGACGATCGCGGAAACGGCAAGAAAAGAAAAAGAAAACGAAACCTTTCGTAATCGACGCGTCAGCGTACCGCTCGTTCGAAAGTGATCGTCGTCGTGCCCACGAGCAGCCGAGCAAGCACCGCCTTTATGATAGGTATTAAATCGTGGCGTCGCCTGGATATACGTTCCCTCGTTTCTCCGTTTTGGTCGTCGTTCTCGTCGTGTAGACGCGTGCTCGACGCGGCCGTGAAATCACGCACGCAGTCACGCGCACTTCGTTACGCTATCCTGCTGCTGGTCGTCAAATACACGGTGTTGGCCACGTCGGTGTGGCGTTACTGCGAGCGAAAAAAGGAGAGGGACAGAGCGATCGGCGCGAGGCTGACCAACAGAATGGACACTGGGATCTCATAGCAAAATGCTCCCAGTCGGGCTGAATCACCGTGCACGGATAAGGCGAACGGACGAGTAAACAAGTGTGGGAGTAACTGGCGAAGATATATAATAACTGCGCGAAACGTACGCGAGGGGTCGAGGAGAGAAATTCAGAAACGAGAAGTGCAGCGCGGGGAGAAAGAGAAAGAGAGAGCGAGAGCGAGCTAAAGCTTTTGCACGCTGCGCGGGGATGACAAGAGCGGTGATATTATGCACCTAATGGGTAAGTGGCGCAAAATCTTGCCCGTGACCCTTATATTCAATTACCGCTAATCTGCTCGGAGTGGAATTGCTCGATTCATACGCGGCAGTATCGCGTCGATTTGACAGGTGTGACAATAGGCTTACCGTTTTATCGATTTTCACCGCCGATTAAGCGACCGAGGAATCGCGTTTATTTCGCGGGAACGGTTTCGTGACTCGTTCGATCTGTACGTTGCGATTTCCGTCGGCTGATTGGTTTCTAACGGGTTCGAAGGTCATCGTTTGGAAATACTGCCAAGCATTTTAGGTTATGTTTATTATGTCAGCGACGTTTTACGATGGTCGGACACGACGCCACAGAGACGAGAGTTTTTAGCTTACTAAAGCCTCTCGACTCGATAAACAACGCACGATCTCGTAAGCGCGATGGATTTTTACATTGCTAGTATTAATCGTCATCCACTATACACTCGAATGACATATGCTGTCTCTTCTTTGTTTACCAGTGTAAAGGTGAGAAATGATTCACGTATAAAGTGTGCAACGAAGCGAGAAATATGTATGGTGCAGTGCGTGAAGAGGTCTCCGAAAGCTGGTTACACACGTACGACTTGAGCAGTACAATGATTCCTAATGTTAGTTCGCCAGTGAATGATGAGGAGCATGTCTGCAAGATGATCTTGTACAAAGAAATCAAAGATTCAAGGTAAGGATGTTAATTTAAGAATGCCACAGGAGCGTCTCCTGGACCAATTGTTGTTTTGTTTTCCAGAGTACGAATATGGGACATTGTCATATTGATACCAAACCTCTTGTTTCTTTTATTCATCGCAGTGAGATTTAATAGAGCACGGCTTAAATTGAGAGCAACGAGTAGTCCAATATTTTTAGCATTTTACGGACTTGTCATTTGTAACGTAGTGATTTCAGTAATAAGATGTATCGTTTCAATGAGTGTAAATGCGGCAGCTACCGTTGGTGGCAAAGCAGATAAAATACTGTGGGTAACAGTGAGATTTTTCCTGTTGTCCACAGAGATGAGCGTGGTTATATTTGGTTTGGCTTTTGGTGAGTTGATTTTGCTTTTGTTACTTAAGATTGCTTATTACAAGATACTCGAAATACATAATTATTTTTTTGTAGGACATTTGGATAGTCGCTCAAGTATTCGTAGGGTATTACTTGCCACGTCATTGATAGCATTGGCTTTTACTATAACCCAAGGAACCTTGGAGCTAGTTTTACCAGACGATACATTCCATATCCCTAGTAGAGATTTTTATGTGTTTGGTCATGGAGGAATGATGTTTTGGTTTTGCAGCAGTCTTGTTTTCACGATGGTAAATTTACAGCGAGCATCAATGATATTTGAAATTGCAAACAGCCCTAGTTATTGTTATGATCTTGTTGCAGATATATCTTTTTATATTAATACTGCCATGGACACGGTTACGAGACCGTTTAACCCTTCCAAGTACGTTGATCAATCATACCATAGCGTTTTATGTTAGCATTAGTGTGTATTCACATAATGCATAAAGTACTTTCTGTTTTTCAGCAAGAAAAAGTTTTTACATTTACGCTGGTACATTAGCCATGCTAGATCTAGTACAATCAATTGGCGCAGGCTTTTTAAACTACACACAAAACATGGTAGGATTATGCGTCGTGGATTTCACTGCGGCGGTTTATTTGACACTTTTTACACCCTTGGTTTATCATACATTCCTGTCTGAGTTCTTTGGGTAAGTTACTACGTATGTCTAAGAATAATTCAATATCCTAGACAATGCGTGCAAGGACAGATGAGAAATTTTGTTGCAGGGTCTCGCAACCTTCGATAATGTTCTCTTACAAGGCACAAGTAGACGATGCAATGGATGAAGACACGGTGTCGCTGCCGCATCAACAGAGCTTCTCCTCGTTAAAAACAGACAGCGATTATATTTATCAGGTCCACACTCCATCTATTCACATGCCCTTGTATGGTTCACAAGCGTTTAAACCCCCTTCAAAGCATAAATCCTCTTCACACTCCTTGGCATCGACAAAAGACTCGAAAACTGGTAGCGGGCACATCTACGACTCCCCGGTCGCTTTATACCGATCCACATCCGGCATTAAAAGCTTCTCTAGGCGCCTGAGCGCAGAGAAGAGCCCGTCCAGCCTCAAGAAATATCCCCTAACGAAATCCGACAATTTCATCGATTCCAAAAACAGCTCGCTAGACTTGAAATTGACTCACCATACCTGGAAGAGCAAATCTGCATCGCAGTTCAAGTACGGTGGGCCTAGTAGCGTTTCGAATTTGCTTTTCTCGCCGAACACCGCTAGTAGCTTCTTGTACAAATCCGGTGCAAACGATAGTAATACCAATTTATTCTCCTTGGCGAGAAAGGGTAGCTTGATGCACGAACGAAAGCGATCGGAGGGGAACGTGTCCAGCCAGTTTTTTGAAATTCCACCGCTTGAGAACACGTTGCAATCCATTCTGGATAGCAGCACCAACGACGGCTCCGAAGTGAAACGTAGCACGTCGAGCCGAGAGTCTTCGAGAAAAGATAACACGGCTGCGCGAGACTCGCAGAACATAGAAAAGAAGGAATCGAGTCGTTTGATGCAACAGACTGACGCTGCAGTGTCTGAGATTGATGTTGGGGACACGTCTGACTCGATAGATGCTTCAACCGTCAGGCAACAACTGTTATCGAAACCGGCTTCTTCGACGAGCGAAGAAGCGTACGAAAAACGAAAAAAGAAAGATACAAAGAAAAAGGAGTCCGGTGGATTGAGTGATTATTTATTGTCTCTGGCAGTGTCGATAGATGAGAAGGAAGAGAAAGATACCGAAGTCGATCCTAGTCCTTTTCCCTCCCGTCACGTTAAATCTTACACGCAGACTGAATCGTTGTAAATATTCGTTTTAAACAACCGGCATAAAGTCTAAGTCATTAGTAGTATGTAAGTCAGTTTTCAACCTCTGAACCTCAAAATTCCGCTTATTTTATCAATTCGAACGCGATGAAGTTTCATTTTTGGAACGGAGAAATTATAACGCGTACTTTGTTAAATAACTATATAGATGTATCATAGTGTAAAATAGAGGTGCGCACAGAGATGCTTTATTATCTGTACATATAAAGCATGTTTTAGATTTAATTAAACTCATTAATGTAGCCGATGCACTTGGTTTTATTTATTTACACTAACTTGGCAGTGGATAACGCTAACATTTTTTTGTTTTGTGTTGCAACCAAGATATCCCTCACACCAGGCCCCTGTCATTCGCTTTTGTATTTCAAAAGGAAATGAAGAAGAAAAAAGAAAGAAAAGAAAAAAGAAATATTCCGAGTCTTTGCACCCAGCTTGAAAGTACACAGTCCTTGTGTTGTATATGTGCAAGTAGTGAACATTTTTACCACATATAGTACCTTTGTACGAAATGAAATTTTTATCAAAAGTATTTTAAGATGATCGTTCAAGCTTTCTCTCTCTCTCTCTCTTTTTTGTTTTCTTTTTTTTTTATCAAGAAACGTTCAAAGGAGCTATATTGTCCATTCCTTATTTGTTAAACAGTGCAACGAGAACTGTTCTTTTGTTCACAGAACCACAGTGTCTATGACTCGACCCAGTTCGACACGAACTCAACACCGGTGAACCCACTGTACGCGGCGTCTCTGCAGAGTCCAGATAGCATAACCGGTTACAGTATAGATAGTCAAGAAGGCCAAGCCCAGGCGAACGGTTATCAACAGTGAACAAGTTGATCGTGTCTGACATGACTCGACTCGCATGTTAACGGTTACGAACATGGATCCAACGATTCGTTCAACGATCGAGTTCAGTTTCATTGAAAGTGAACTACTGCGTGAAATCCATTGAGAAACAAGAGAGAGAAAAAAAAGAAAAGAAAGAAAGAAAGAAAGAACGTGTTCCAGCGTTCGATTCTCCCCGATTTTCGAAGAACGAAATTCGAAAGAGAGATCCCCGAAACGCGATTTCACTGAAAGAATCTAGTCGCTGCGAACAATTTTTAGGAGAGTGCAAACGTCGATGAAACATCCCTCGATTTCGTTTCTCTTTCTATGTGATAGCAACGAGATAATAATCGCGATCCTGCGCTGTTTTGAAAAAGGACAAACCCTGTTGAATCTCCTCCTTTCCTCCCCCTTTCCCCCTCGTCTGTTGTCCATCCCCCGGAGAACAGATATTTCGTACTTAATCGATCACGGAAGATTCGTTCTATTTAGGAAAAAGAGAGAGAGAAAAAAACAAACGCCGTTCAGACGATGCACGAAAAAGGAAGGATTTCGATTGCGTCGTCGTCGAAATGAAATGATCAGCGAGCTGCTAATCCCGCGAGACAGATATATATATATATATATATATATATATATATGTATATCTTCATCGGTTTCGAATTCGACTTTCGACAAACTTGCTTATCGTTTCTCCGTCCTCTTTACCAAAGACAGAGGCCCCCTCCGCACAGAGGGCCTCTCTCTGACCTTCGCGAAAGATCTGTGAGCACGATCCGCGGCGAACGTCCCTCGCTATTTTCCTACTTTTGCAATTAAGAAAGCATTTTACGAACGACGAGCAAGGACAATATATAGGAGAACGCGGTTCCCGTCGCGAGCGTGACTTGAGACGCGCGACGACAACCTCAGAATTTTTTAAGGGGAAATCCCTTCGACGCTCCGCTGAAAACTATTTACGGAAGACTCCATCCATCGTGTAATATGTATATATATATATATATATATATATATATATATATATACCCTGTAACTCTAGTGTAAAAGGATCGTGCTATTTATATACTAATATATTATATATTATATATATACACAAGAATACATAACGTTATATTTATCGATATTGTATGTCCGTACTTGTGAACGTGCGCTAGTTTCTGGCAAAGTCGCGTCGGCCACGAAAAAAAAAAGAAAAGAGAAAGAAAATTCGCCTGCCTGTTTTTTAATTTTTTCGTACGCAACACGCGAGGTCACATTCAGAAACCAGTGGCGATGAACAATTGATTTGACGACGATTGATCTACTCGGGGAATCACTAACGTGTGACGAGGGAACTGAAAGTTTACCCGTTGAGGGCCAATTTCATTTAGAATTCTTTCTCAATTAGTTTGCGTTTTGTAGAAATTCCGCATTTTTTAATATTGCGGCTATAAAAGGAAGTCGCAGGGATTCGCCTAATATATTTCCTCATCGTCTTCGACCTAAAATCCTACGATTTTACGAAAACGTGTGAAAATTGTGTCTTTTTTCTTTTTTTTAATGTTTAACGATGGTCCTCAACGAGTTCAACCACCGAGATGTAACGACACTTTGGAGAACCCTGAACGGCCCCTTTTTGATCTTTCTTCACCCCCAACCCCTTAACCCCTTCGTATAGATCTGATCCCTCTACTGCCCCGTCTTCAACGCGAACCAACGATTTTTGTACCGTTTGTAAATGTACTTTAGTCAGAAACCAAAGATATGTCGGAAAGATTTCGAAATCACATGTTCAACGACGTTCGTTTTTTTCGATGCGGTGGTATCTTCAAATCGTCTCGATAATTTTCGATTGCTCTGATCGGAGGATCATCAGGCGGCTATCGATCGGACAGCTATCACACACATACACACACGAGACACGCGTCTCTTCGCGTATTTTCTAATCGTTCGGGTCTGCCGTACGGATTTGTGTGTAATATATATATCTGCGAGAACAGATCAAATCGAGAGCTCTGGGAGGGCGGAATCTCTCTGTCAATTGCAACGTCGATTCACTCACACGAACACGTACACACACGTAATTAAAACACACTAACTCGTTCTACTCTAATTCTACCAGGCGTTCTCTTCTAATTAAGTGTCTGACGGTCGTGGTCAGGCTGGTTTTTTTGTAATTGTCGGGTGGAATGTGAAAAGGCAATACTTCGGATCGCGTAACACGATTATATATTTAATGAGAATAAAATTACATTTCAATCGAGCATTTGCCGACTTTCTTCATTGTTCTTCCCGTTTCTTTTTTTTTTTTTTTTTTTTTAATGCACGTCTCGAGGCTCGTACGAACTGGCATATACACTAGAAGCGCTATTTACTACAAATATATTAGAAATTGATTGTTTATTATTGTTTATTATATTGCAAAACTAATTACCCAGGGGAGATCGTATTTACACGATCGATCGATTAATGTCTGAAATGTAATGTCTTTCTACAGTAATTCCAATTTATACGAGCCATTCGGTGTTGGAAAGTAATTAAGCCTTTGGGACCTAGTTTCATGTTCCCTTGCAACAACTCGATAATTATAGGCATAATTTGTTACGTCAGATTCGCGATTATTTGTCTATTACAGTTAAGAAATTACCAGTTCGGAGATAATTTATCGATGACTTCTTCTTTTTTTTACAATATTTCGCTATATGTTATCTTTCAAAAAAATTACACCCGATTGCAATTGCGATCGAAAATGTCGTAGAAAATCTCGGTTTGTCGGAGGAAGTCCCGAGAGTAAAAGGTTACCGCGTTACTTGTTAAAAGTTACAATTAACCGCAGCCTAAATTTAAACCAATCAATAACTGATTCATAATCGAGCTAAGCCCTCGGTTCGACGATAATTTTTACAAGATTACGGGGTGAGAAATAGCAAGAGCAGAGTTCTTGCGGACCGATCGATATCAATATTGTCTTTCCACCCCGAAGCTAAAGCTTTCAGCTTCTATTCTCACTGCTATCTTTAGCAGAAGACTGTGTATAGCCGTTGGAAACTTGTAGCTGAAACCGATCGTGTATCGCTGAATAAACTTTCCAACGTCTCGCCGCTAAATTCATTGCATTCCCTCTCCGGCGAGATTTTTGACAAACTGAATTCTCCGAGCCTGGAACGAAGGGAAAGAGGCATTTCGTTAGAAACGAAAATTCTCGTTTCGACGGAACGTTCTCTCGTCGCATCGAGCCTTGGTCAGAGACGATGGAGATTTCGCGACAACGTCGACTACTATTGGATGGATATAGACACGAGCCACTTAAATTTCGCTGCGATAGGGTCGCGCGGCTATAAATACAAAGTGCATGCATGCGCATTATTCGCGCTCCAACTTGCACCACCTTTTCATGGACAAGGCTACCGGGCAACGATTAGTCACAGTACAACGATCATCGGCACTTTCCGTTCGATTGAGCCCCGTTGCACAATACCGAGAGAGTGCAGTCCTTTCTCGCACCAGCCGTTGAAAGAGTGCATCAACACCCGGTTGTTTACAGAAACCGGCAACAGGCTGGTTCCGTTTCACCGTTTTTATTTTATTCGGCAGCCGATCGTCGTTCATCCAGAATCCCGACAATCCAAGGACTCGGAAGAGGAAATTAATATCACGAAGTGCATTGAAGGCCGTGCAGGTTTCCATTCTGTTTCTCTTTGTTCTAGAGACGGCTCTTTTTTGCGTTTGAATAATTGAGGAGATTGGTAACAGAGAGATGGTGGAAAAAACTCGCGTGGAAAGAGGATATTGCAATAACGTTAACAAATATAGAACTTTTGGACGAAAAATTCCATACGCCGGGTGGGAAAGGATTAAATATTTGAAGGAATTTAAAAGCGAGCCACGTACATATCGTTCAGTGATGTTGAATTCTCGCTCGACGTAATTATTAATTCCCGACAAAGTGATTATATTACCGAGTGGAAAAGTAGTGAGAAATAGAGTTCATACATAGAGGGAAATTATAATACGTCAAACGAGGAAGAAATTAAATATTCGAAGAGGTTTGAAAACGAACATTCTACATTTCCATTTGGTAACGAGTGTTAACGCGACGTTGAATAATTAGAACAATCCTCGGGGATATAGTTGAAAGGGAAAAGAACATTTCGAACAAAATAGTATCTACTGAGAGAAAGATGTTTGTACGACAGCAAAATTTAGGTCAATTCGAGTACGTGAAACACGAAATATTCGACGAAGCTTTATCCGGGAAAACAAAGCATCAAATTCTCTTTTATCATCGTCAGACTCGACTTCAATAATTCACGCCCTCTAATCGATACTGCCGAATTGATCGTGAAACGTTCATTGAGAAAGCGCGTATAAATTGATATCGTCTGATACACGAAATAATTTAACCTTCATGCCCGTTTCCGACGGGAAAGCTCTTATATTTTTA